TTCCCCCCTTATCCTCCCTATATCTCCCCCCATCCCCCCCCATATCTCCCCATTCTCTCCCCCCATTCTCCCCCCATTCCCCCCCCATTCCCCCCCCAGACATGCGCCGGGACGTGCAGGAGATCTTCCGCATGACCCCCCACGAGAAGCAGGTGATGATGTTCAGCGCCACGCTCTCCAAGGACATCCGTCCCGTCTGCCGAAAATTCATGCAAGACGTAAATCACCCCCTCCCCCCACACCCCCCCACCCCCCCCACCCCCCCTCCGTCACCTCCCCCCCCCCACCACCACCCCCCAAACAGCGATACGGGGCCAACATCACCCCCCCACTTCTCCTTCATCCCATCCATGCGGAAGATCTCTCGGCTCCCTTCTCCATCCTCATCCGTAGGCTGGACCGGTGGGGGGGGGGCTCGCTTTAAACCCCCTCTTTTTCGGGCAAAATGAGGCTTAAACCAAACCCCCTCTCATTTTCGCACCTAAAATCACCCCCCCTCCCTGAAATCACCCCAAAATGAGGCTTAAACCACGCAACCCCCCCCCAGACACCATCAGTATCATCACACTGAGAGGCAGAAGAGCTCTAGGCTGCACCGATAGGGGGGGCTCACTTTAAACCCCCTCTTTCTGGCCTAAAACCACCTGAAATCAGCCCAAAATGAGGCCTAAAACACACACAGACCCCCCCTAAACACCATCATCATCGTCACACCGAGGCTGAAGATCTCTAGGCTGCACCGATAGGGGGGGCTCACTTTAAACCCCCTCTTTCTGGCCTAAAACCACCTGAAATCAGCCCAAAATGAGGCCTAAAACACACACAGACCCCCCCTAAACACCATCATCATCGTCACACCGAGGCTGAAGATCTCTAGGCTGCACCTATAGGGAAAAGAGGGGGTCCTCGCTTTACCCCCCCCTCTTTTTGGCCTGAAATCACCCCAAAATGAGGCCTAAAACACACACAGACCCCCCCTAAACACCATCATCATCGTCACACCGAGGCTGAAGATCTCTAGGCTGCACCTATAGGGAAAAGAGGGGGTCCTAAAATCAGCCCAAATGAGGCCTAAAACACACACCCCCCCTCATTTTCACACCGAGGCTGGATCTCTAGGCCAAAACCACCTGAAATCAGCCCAAAATGAGGCCTAAAACACACACAGACCCCCCCTAAACACCATCATCATCGTCACACCGAGGCTGAAGATCTCTAGGCTGCACCTATAGGGAAAAGAGGGGGTCCTCGCTTTACCCCCCTCTCTTTTTGGCCTAAAACCACCTGAAATCAGCCCAAAATGAGGCCTAAAACACACACAGACCCCCCCTAAACACCATCATCATCGTCACACCGAGGCTGAAGATCTCTAGGCTGCACCTATAGGGGGGGCTCACTTTAAACCCCCTCTTTTTGGCCTAAAACCACCTGAAATCACCCCAAACTGAGGCATAAACCACGCAACCCCCCCCCAGACACCATCATCATCGTCACACCGAGATGAAGAAGATCTCTAGGCTGCACCAATAGGGAAAGGGGGGGGGGGTCCTCAATTTACCCCCTTCTTTTTGCCTAAAACCACACAAAATCACCCCAAAATGAGGCATAAACCACGCAACCCCCCCCCAGACACCATCATCATCCTCCCACCGAGACGAAGAAGATCTCTAGGCTGCACCAATAGGGAAAGGGGGGGGGGGGTCTTCAGTTTACCCCCCTCTTTTTGCCTAAAACCACCTGAAATCACCCCAAAATGAGGCCTAAAACACAGACACCCCCCTCCAGACACCATCATCATCATCGCACCGAGACGTGGAAGATCTCTAGGCTGCACCAATAGGGAAAAAGAGGGGGGGTGTCTCACTTTAACCCCCCCAACACCCCTCTTTTTGGCCTAAAACCACCTGAAATCACCCCAAAACGAGGCTTAAACCCCCCCAAGCACCACCACCATCATCATCATCATCTTCATCACCCCCGAGACGTGGAAGCCCAGGAGAGCACCAGGACCCAGCCCAACCCCCCCCCCCAGCCCCCCAACCTCCGGCTTTGGGACCACGACGCAGGAGCAAGGCCCAGCCCCCCCCCCCCCCCACATCTCCCCCCCACCACCCCCTTGACCCCCACAACGGGCGCATCCGGATTCACCTCCTCCTGGACCCCACTTCCAGGGAGCCCCCGCGGATGCTGGATCCTGGAGCAGGATGTGGGGGGGGATGGGGAATGGAGGGGGATGGGGGTTTGGGGTGCAGGGGGTTGTGGGGAGCCCATTGCGTTCTATTGGGGTGTAAAGAGCCCATAGGGTTGTATTGGGGTGCACAGAGCCCATAGGGTTGTATTGGGGTGCACAGAGCCCATAGGGTTGTATTGGGGTGCACAGAGCCCATAGGGTTGTATTGGGGTGCACAGAGCCCATAGGGATGTATTGGGGTGCACAGAGCCCATAGGGTTGTATTAGGGTGTGAGGAGCCTATAGGGTTGTATTGGGGTGCTGGGAGCCCATTGGGTTGTATTGGGGTGTAGGGAGCCCATAGGATTGTATTGGGGTGTAGGGAGCCCATAGGATTGTATTGGGGTGCAAGGAGCCCATTGGGGTCTAGGGAGCCCATTGGGTTCTATTGGGGTGCAGGAAGCCCGTAGGGTTGTATTGGGGTGCAAGCAGCTCATTGGATTCTATTGGGGTGCAGGAAACCCATAGGGTTGTATTGGGGTACTGGGAGCCCATTGGGTTGTATTGGGGTGCAGGAAGCCCATTGGGTTGTATTGGGGTGCACGGAGCCCATAGGGTTGTATTGGGGTGCACAGAGCCCATAGGGATGTATTGGGATGCACAGAGCCCATATGGTTGTATTTAGGTGCTGGGAGCCCATAGGGTTGTATTAGGGTGTGAGGAGCCTATAGGGTTGTATTGGGGTGCTGGGAGCCCATTGGGCTCTATTGGGGTGCAAGGAGCCCATTGGGCTCTAATGGGGTGTAAGGAACCTATAGGGTTGTATTGGGGTGCAGGGAGCCCATTGGGCTCTAATGGGGTGTAAGGAACCTATAGGGTTGTATGGGGTACAAGGAGCCCATTGGGCTCTAATGGGGTGTAAGGAACCTATAGGGTTGTATTGGGGTGCAGGGAGCCCATTGGGGTGTAGGGAGCCCACAGGGTTGTATTAGGGTGTAGGGAGCCCATTGGGCTCTATTGGGGTGCAGGGAGCCCATTGGGCTCTAATGGGGTGTAAGGAACCCATAGGGTTGCATTGGGGTGCAAGGAGCCCATTGGGGTCTAGGGAGCCCATTGGGTTCTATTGGGGTGCAGGAAACCCATAGGGTTGTATTGGGGTACTGGGAGCCCATTGGGCTCTATTGGGGTGCAGGAAACCCATAGGGTTGTATTGGGGTGCAGGAAACCCATAGGGTTGTATTGGGGTGCAGGAAGCCCATAGGGTTGTATTGGGGTGCAAGGAGCCCATTGGGTTCTATTGGGGTGCAGGAAACCCATAGGGTTGTATTGGGGTGCAGGGAGCCCATAGGGTTGTATTGGGGTGTATAGAGACCCCATAGGGCTGTAACTGTGCCCATGGGACCATATTGGGGTGCAGGGAGGTCCAAGGGACCCATTGGGTTATATTGGGGTGCAGGGAGCCCATTGGGCTCTATTGGGGTGTGGGGGGGGCTATAAGCAGCCCATTGGCCTCTATTGGGCTGCAAGGACCTATAGGGCACCCATGGGGCTCTATTGGCACCCATAGGGCTCAACTGGGGCTCTTTGGCTCAATTTTGGGGGTACCAAGACCCATTCAGGGGTGCAGATCCCCATTGGCCTCTTTGGGCCCATTTTTAGCCTCTTTGGCCCATTTTTGGTCTTTCTGAGCCCAGTTTTGGGGAGCTGGGGCTCATTTTTGGCCTCTTTTGGCTCGTTTTTGGCCTTTCTGAGCCCATTTTTGGGGTGCCAGGTCTCATTTTGGGGTGCTGGGGCCCTCTTTTGGCCTGTTTTTGGCCTTTCTGAGCCCATTTTTGGGGTGCCAGGTCTCATTTTGGGGTGCCAGAGCCCATTTTTGCCCTCTTTGAGCCCATTTTTGGTGCCTCTGAAGCCATTTTTGGGGTGCCAGGGCCCATTTTTAGCCTCTTTGGCCCATTTTTTTGCCTCTCTGAGCCCATTTTTGGGGTGCCAGGGCCCATTTTTGGCCTTTTTTGGCCCATTTTTACCCTCTTTGGTCCATTTTTGCCTTCTCTGAGCCCATTTTTGGAGTGCCAGGGCCCATTTTGGGGTGCTGGGGCCCTTTTTTGGCCCATTTTTGCCTTCTCTGAGCCCATTTTTGGGGTGCCAGGGCCCATTTTTGCCCTCTCTAAGCCCGTTCTTTCCCTGTCTGAGCCCATTTTTGCCCTATTTGGGCCCATTTTGGGTGCCAGGGCACACTTTTTGCCTGTCTGAGCCCCTTTTTGGGGTGCCAGGTCTCATTTTGGGGTGCTGGGGCCGATTTTTGCCTTCTCCGAGCCCATTTTTGCCCTCTTTGGGCCCATTTTTGGCCTTTGTGAGCCCATTTTTGGCCTCTCTGAGCCCGTTTTTGGGCCCGTTTTGGGGGTGCGGGGACCCCTTGTGGGGGTGCAGGGGGGGCCCGCAGCTCAGGCTCTCTCTGCCCCCCCCCATTGTAGCCTATGGAGATCTTTGTGGACGACGAGACGAAGCTGACGCTGCACGGCCTGCAGCAGTACTACGTCAAGCTCAAGGACAACGAGAAGAACCGCAAGCTCTTCGACCTCCTCGACGTGCTCGAGTTCAACCAGGTGGGAGCGGCACCCCGGAAACACCCTGAAACAACCCCAAAACCGCCCTAAAATAGCCCAAAACAGCCCCGAAACACCCTAAAATACCCCCAAACGGCCCTAAAATAGCCCAAAACACCTCAAAACCGCCCTAAAATAGCCCAAAACAGCCCCAAAACACCTCAAAATGCCCCCAAACCACCCTAAAATACCCCAAAACCCCCCAAAACTGCCCTAAAATAGCCCAAAACACCTCAAAATGCCCCAAAACCGCCCTAAAATAGCCCCAAAACAGGCCCAAAACACCTCAAAATGCCCCCAAACCACCCTAAAATACCCCAAACAACCCTAAAACACCCCAAAACCGCCCTAAAATACCCCAAAAGAGACCCAAAACACCTCAAAATACCCCCAGACGGCCCTAAAATAGCCCAAAACAGGCCCAAAACACCTCAAAATGCTCCCAACCACCCTAAAATAGCCCAGAACAGGCCCAAAACACCCCAAAACCGCCCTAAAATAGCCCAAAACAGGCCCAAAACACCTCAAAATGCCCCAAAACCGCCCTAAAATGGCCCAAAACACCTTAAAATACCCCAAAACCGCCCTAAAATAGCCCCAAACAGGCCCGAAACACCTCAAAATGCCCCAAAACCGCCCTAAAATGGCCCAAAACCACCCTAAAATACCCCAAAACTGACCCAAAACACCCTAAAATACCACAAAACCGCCCTAAAATAGCCCAAAACACCTCAAAATGCCCCCAAACCACCCTAAAATACCCCCAAACACCTCAAAATACCCTAAATACCCCAAAACACCCTAAAATAGCCCAAAACAGACCCAAAACACCTCAAAATACCCCAATGCAGCCCTAAAATAGCCCAAAACAGACCCGAAATACCTCAAAATGCCCCAAAACCACCCTAAAATAGCCCAAAACAGACCCGAAATAACTCAAAATGCCCCAAAACCGCCCTAAAATAGCCCCAAACAGGCCCAAAACACCTCAAAATGCCCCAAAACCACCCTAAAATAGCCCCAAAACACCCCAAAACCGCCCTAAAATAGCCCAAAACACCCCAAAACCACCCTAAAATAGCCTGAAACAGGTCCAAAACACCTCAAAATGCCCCAAAACCAACCTAAAATACCACAAAACCACCCTAAAATGCTCCAAAACTGCCCTTAAATAGCCCAAAACACCCCCCAAAATGCCCTAAAATACCCAAAAATAGCCCAAAACACCTCAAAATGCCCCAAAGCCTCCCTAACATAGCCCAAAACACCCTAAAATGCCCCAAAACAGTCCAAAAACACCTTCAGATACCCTAAAACATGTCAAAACCACCCTAAGGTACCCCAAAGATCCCAAAAAAAACCTAAAATACGCTTAAACAGCCCCAAAACACCCTAAAACCCCCATTTTACCTCCCCAAATCCCCATTTTCCCTCCCCAAACCCCCATTATTTCCCCCCAAACCCCCATTATTTCCCCCAAAACCCCCATTTCCCCCAAACCCCTATTTTCCCCCCAAACCCCCATTTTTTCCCCACAAACCCCCTTTTTTTTCCCCAAATCCCCATTTTTCCCCCAAAACCCCATTCCCCCCCAAAATCCCCATTTTTCCCCCCAAAACCCCCATTTTCCCTTCCCAAACCCCCATTTTACCCCCAAACCCCCATTTTTTCCCCCCAAACCCCCATTTTTTTCCCCACAAACCCCCATTTTTTCCCCCAAACCCCCATTTTCCCTCCCCAAACCCCCATTATTTCCCCCCAAACCCCCATTTCCCCCCCAAAAAAACATTTTCCCTCCCCAAACCCCCATTTTCCCTCCCCAAACCCCCATTATTTCCCCCCAAACCCCCATTATTTCCCCCAAAACCCCCATTTCCCCCAAACCCCCATTTCCCCCCCCAAACCCCCATTTCCCCCCCAAACCCCCCTTTTCCCCCCCCAAAACCCCCATTTCCCCCCAAACCCCCCATTTCCACCCCCAAACCCCCATTCCCCCCAAAACCCCATTTCCCCCCCAAAACCCCATTAAAACCCCCCCCAAAACCCCCCCCCCCCAAAACCCCCATTTTCCCCCCCAAACCCCCATTAAAAGACCCAAAACCCCATTAAAGACCCCAAACCCCCATTAAAAAGACCCCATCCCCCCCAAACCCCCCAACCCCCCCCAAAACCCCCATCCCCCCCAAACCCCACATCCCCCCCCAAACCCCCATTTCCCTCCCCAAACCCCCATTATTTCCCCCCAAACCCCCATTAAACCCCCCCCCAAACCCCCATTAAAAAGACCCCAACCCCCCTCAAAAGCCCATTAAACCCCCCCAAAACCCCATTAAAGCCCCCCAAACCCCCCCCCCCCCAAAACCCCATTTTCCCTCCCCAAACCCCCATTATTTCCCCCCAAACCCCCATTTCCCCCCCAAAACCCCCATTTTCCCCCCAAAACCCCCATTTTCCCTCCCCAAACCCCCATTATTTCCCCCCAAAACCCCCATTTTCCCCCAAACCCCCATTTTCCCTCCCCAAACCCCCATTATTTCCCCAAAACCCCCATTCCCCCCCCAAAACCCCCATTTCCCCCCCCAAACCCCTATTTCCCTCCCCAAAACCCCATTTTTCCCCCCAAAACCCCCTATTTCCCCCCCCAAATCCCCCATTTCCCTCCCCAAACCCCCATTTTCCCTCCCCAAACCCCCATTTCCCTCCCCAAATCCCCATTTTTCCCCCCAAATCCCCATTATTTCCCCAAAACCCCCATTTCCCCCCCAAAAACCCCCATTTCCCCCCCCAAAACCCCCATTTCTCCCCAAAATTCCCCCCATATCCCCCTCCCCGCAGGTGGTGATCTTCGTCAAGTCGGTGCAGCGCTGCATCGCCCTGGCGCAGCTCCTGGTGGAGCAGAACTTCCCGGCCATCGCCATCCACCGCGGCATGCCGCAGGAGGAGCGGTGCGAGCCCGCGGGGAGCTGGCGGGACGCGGCGCGACGTGCTGCGATATATCGCGATATATCGCGATATAAGTGGATATATCGCGATATATCGGGTTATAATGGGATATATCGGGATATATCGCTATGTATCGGGATATAAGGGGATATATCGCGATATATCGGGATATAAGGGGATATATCGCGATATGTCGGGATGTACTGGGATATAACGTGATATATTGGGATACAAGAGGATATTTCGGGATATACAGGGATATATCGGGATATAAGGGGATATATCGCGATGTATCGGAATATAAGGGGATATGTCGCGATATATTGCGATATATCGGGTTATTAATGGATATATCAGGATATAAGGGGATATATCGCGATATGTTGGGTTATAATGGGATATATCGGGATATATCGCGATATATCGGGATGTATCAGGATATAACGGGATATATCGGGATATATTGGGATATAACAGGATATGTCGGGATATACAGGGATATATCGGGGTATATTGAGATATAATGGGATATATCGGGATATAATGGGATATATCGGGATATATTGGGATATACCAGGGTATAGGGGATATACCAGGATATACTGGGATCTATCGGGATGTATCAGGATATATTGAGATGTATCAGGATATATCGAGATAGACTGGGATATATTGGGATGTACCGGGATATATGGGGATATATCAGGATGTACTGGGATATATTGTGATATACTGGGGTATATCGGGATATACTGGGATATATTGGGATATACTGGGATATATTGTGGTATACTGGAATATATCAAAATACACCGGGATATATTGGGATTTACTGGGATATGCCAGGATATATCGGGATATACTGGGGTATATTGATATCTATTGGGATATATCGGGATATACCAGGATATATTGGGATGTATCGGGATATACCGGGATATATCAGGGTATACTGGGATATATTGGGATGTACCAGGATACATCGGGATATACGGGGCTATATCGGGATATACTGCGATATACCGGGATATATTGTGATATACCGGGATATACCGGGATATATTAGGATATATTGGGATATACTGGGATATGCCAGGATATATCACGATATACTGGGATATACCGGGATAGACTGGGATATATCGGGATAGACTGGGATATATCGCGATATACTGGGATGTATCGCGATGTACTGGGATATATTGCGATATACTGGGATATATCGCGATGTACTGGGATATATCTCGCGATGTACTGGGATATATTGCGATATACTGGGATATATCGCGATGTACTGGGATATATCGTGATATACTGGGATATATATCACGATGTACTGGGATATATCGCGATGTACTGGGATATATATCGCGATATACTGGGATATATCGCGATATACTGGGATATATCACGATATCCCGGGATATATCGCGATGTACTGGGATATATCGCGATATACTGGGATATATCGCGATACCCCGGGATATATCGCGATATATCGTGATACCCCCGCCGTGCTCCAGGTTATCCCGGTACCAGCAGTTCAAGGACTTCCAGCGCCGCATCCTGGTGGCCACGAACCTGTTTGGGCGCGGGATGGACATCGAGAGGGTCAACATCGCCTTCAACTACGACATGCCCGAGGACTCGGACACCTACCTGCACCGGGTGCGGGGGGACCCCAAAGTGGGGGGTGGGGGGTGAAATATGGGGGGGGGGGTGAAATATAGGGGGTAAGGGGGGTAAAATATAGGGGGAGGGGGTAAAATATGGGGGTAGGGGGGTAAAATATAGGGGGTGTGGGGGTAAAATATAGGGGGTGTGGGGGGTAAAATATAGGGGGTATGGGGGTAAAATATAGGGGGAGGGGGTAAAATATAGGGGGAGGGCGTGTAGGGGGTGTGGGGGAATATAGGGGGTGGGGAAAATATGGGGGGAGGGGGGTAAAATATGGGGGGAGGGGGTAAAATATAGGGGGAGGGGGGTAAAATATAGGGGGTGTGGGGGTAAAATATGGGGGGGGTGGGGGGTAAAATATAGGGGGAGGGGGGTAAAATATGGGGGGAGGGGGTAAAATATAGGGGGTGTGGGGGGGGAATATAGGGGGTGTGTGGGAAAATATAGGGGGTGTGGGGGGTAAAATATAGGGAGAGGGGGTAAAATATAGGGGGGGAAAATATAGGGGAGTACTGTATGACTCCTATAGGGTACTATGGGTACTATAGGGTACTATGGGTATTATAGGGCTCCTATAGGGTACTATGGGTAGTATAGGGCTCTATAGGGTACTATGAGTACTATAGGGTTCCTATAGGGTACTACGGGTACTATAGGGCTCCTATAGGTACTATGGGTACTATAGGGCTCCTATAGGGTACTATGGGTACTATAGGGCTCCTATAGGGTACTATGGGTACTATAGGGCTCCTATAGGTACTATATGGATGTATAGGGCTCTGGGTTCCCTATGTGCCCCATAGCCCTCTATAGGGTGTCCTATGACCCCCATAGCCCTCTATAGGGAACCCTATGACCCCCATAGCCCTCCATAGGGAACCCTATGACCCCCATAGCCCTCTCCAGGCTGCCCCACGCGCCCCATAGCCCTCTCTAAGGTGCCCCATGCGCCCCATAGCCCTCTATAGGGTGTCCTATGACCCCCATAGCCCTCTATATGTTGCCCCATGCGCCCCATAGCCCTCTATAGGGAACCGTATTACCCCCATAGCGCTCTATAGGGAACCCTATGACCCCCATAGCGCTCTCTAGGGTGCCCCACGCGCCCCATAGCCCTCTCTAGGCTGCCCCATGCGCCCCATAGCCCTCTCTAAGGTGCCCCATGCACCCCATAGCCCTCTATAGGAAACCCTATGCCCCCCATAGCCCTCTATAGGAAACCCTATGACCCCCATAGCGCTCTATAGGGAACCGTATGACCCCCATAGCGCTCTATAGGGAACCCTATGACCCCCATAGCGCTCTATAGGAAACCCTATGCCCCCCATAGCCCTCCATAGGGAACCCTATGACCCCCATAGCCCTCCATAGGGAACCCTATGACCCCCATAGCCCTCTATAGGGAACCCTATGACTCCCATAGCCCTCTATAGGGAACCCTATGACCCCCATAGCCCTCTCCAAGCTGCCCCATGCGCCCCATAGCCCTCTATAGGAAACCCTATTACCCCCATAGCGCTCTATAGGAAACCCTATGCCCCCCATAGCCCTCCATAGGGCCCTATGACCCCCATAGCCCTCCATAGGGAACCCTATGACCCCCATAGCCCTCTATAGGGAACCCTATGACCCCCATAGCCCTCTATAGGGAACCCTATGACCCCCATAGCCCTCTATAGGGAACCCTATGCCCCCCATAGCCCTCTATAGGGAACCCTATGACCCCCATAGCCCTCTCTAGGCTGCCCCACGCACCCCATAGCCCTCTATAGGGTGCACTATGCCCCCCATAGCCCTCTATAGGGAACCCTATGACCCCCATAGCCCTCTCTAGGGTGCCCCACGTGCCCCATAGCCCTCTCTAGGCTGCCCCACGCACCCCATAGCCCTCTATAGGGAACCCTATGACCCCCATAGCCCTCCATAGGGAACCCTGTGACCCCCATAGCCCTCCATAGGGAACCCTATGACCCCCATAGCCCTCTATAGGGAACCCTATGACCCCCATAGCGCTCTATAGGGAACCCTATGCCCCCCATAGCGCTCTATAGGGAACCGTATGACCCCCATAGTGCTCTCTAGGGTGCCCCATGCGCCCCATAGCCCTCTATAGGGAACCCTATTACCCCCATAGCGCTCTATAGGAAACCCTATGACCCCCATAGCGCTCTATAGGGAGCCCTATGACCCCCATAGCCCTCCATAGGGAACCGTATGACCCCCATAGCGCTCTCTAGGGTGCCCCACGCGCCCCATAGCGCTCTGTAGGGTGCCCCACGCGCCCCATAGCGCTCTCTAGCGTGCCCCACGCGCCCCATAGCGCCCTATATCTCTGCCCCACACCCGCAGGTGGCGCGGGCGGGCCGGTTCGGCACCAAGGGCCTGGCCATCACCTTCGTGTCGGACGAGAACGACGCCAAGATCCTCAACGACGTCCAGGACCGCTTCGAGGTGAACATCAGCGAGCTGCCCGACGAGATCGACATCTCCTCCTACAGTGAGCCTGGGGGGGGAAACGGGGATTTTGGGGGGAAAACGGGGAATTTGGGGAGATTTGGGGGAAAAATGGGGAAATTTGGGGGAAAAAACGTGTAAAAAGGGGCAAAAATGGGGAAATTTGGGGGAAAAATGGGGAAATTTGGGGGAAAAATGGGGAAATTTGGGGGGAAAAATGGGGAATTTGGGGAAAAAAATGGGGAAATTTGGGGAAAAAAACGGGGAAAAAAGAGGCAAAAACGGGGAAATTTGGGGGAAATTTGGGGGAAAAACGGGGAAATTTGGGGGAAAATGGGGAATTTGGGGGGAAAAATGGGGAAATTTGGGGGAAACTGGGGAATTTTGGGGTAAAACCGGGGAAATTTGGGGAAAAAACGGGGAAATTTGGGGGAAAAACGGGGAAAATTGGGGAAAAAACGGGGAAATTTGGGGGGAAAAAGGGGGAATTTGGGGAAAAAACGTGGAAAAAAGGGGGGAAAAATGGGGAAATTTGGGGGGAAACCGGGGAAATTTGGGGAAAATGGGGAAATTTGGGGGAAAATGGGGAAATTTGGGGGAAAAACAGGGAAATTTGGGGAAAAAACGGGGAATTTTGGGGAAAAACTGGCAAATTTGGGGAAAAATGGGGAAATTTGGGGAAAAAAACGGGGAAAAAAGGGGCAAAAATGGGGATTTTGGGCAAATTTGGGGGGAAAAACGGGGAAATTTGGGGGAAAAAATTGGGAAATTTGGGGGAAAAACGGGGAAATTTGGGGGAAAAACGGGCAAGTTTGTGGAAAAAAAAGGAATTTTGGGGGAAAAACAAGCAAATTTGGGGGAAAAACGGGCAAATTTGGGGAAAAAAGGGCAAATTTGGGGCAAAAACGGGCAAGTTTGGGGAAAAAAGGGCAAATTTGGGTGCAAAACGGGGCGGTTTGGGGGAGCATCCTTGGGATGGACCATTTGAGGGGGGGGAGCTGCCCGACGAGATCGACATCTCCTCCTACAGTGAGCCTGGGGGGGGGAAACGGGGATTTTGGGGGAAAAATGGGGATTTTGGGGGAAATTTGGGGGGAAAACGGGGAAATTTGGGGAAAAAAACGGGGAAAAAAGGGGCAAAAACGGGGAAATTTGGGGGAAAAATGGGGAAATTTGGGGAAAAACGGGGAAAAAAGGGGCAAAAACGGGGAAATTTGGGGAAAAATGGGGAAATTTGGGGAAAAAAATGGGAAAATTTGGGGAAAAATGGGGAAATTTGGGGAAAAACAGGGCAAAAATGGGGATTTTGGGCAAATTTGGGGGAAAAACGAAATTTGGGGGGAAAATGGGGAAATTTGGGAAAAAATGGGGAAATTTGGGGGGAAAATGGGGAAATTTGGAGGAAAACGGGGAAATTTGGGGAAAAATGGGAAAATTTGGGAAATTTGGGGAAAAATGGGGAAATTAGAGGAAAAAATGCGGTTTTGGGGCAAAAACGGGTAATTTTGGAGAAAAAAACAGTCAATTCAGGGGGAAACGGGGAAATTTGGGGAAATTTTGGGGGAAAACGGGGAAATTTGGGGGAAAACGGGGAAATTTGGGGGGAAAACGGGGAAAATTGGGGAAAAAACGGGGAAATTTGGGGGAAAATGGGGAAATTTGGGGGCAAAAATGGGGGCGGTTTTGGAGTGGTTTTGGGGAAATTTGGGGAAAAAATGGGGAAATTTTGAAAAGGTGGTTTGGGGCAGTTTCAGGGTGGTTTTGGGGCAGTTTTGGGGCAGTTTTGGGGTGATTTTGGGGCGGTTTTGGGGCACTTTTGGGGTGGTTTGGGGGCAGTTTTGGGGTGGTTTTGGGGTGGTTTTGGGGCAGTTTCGGGGTGGTTTTGGGGCAGTTTCAGGGTGGTTTTGGGGTGGTTTTGGGGCAATTTTGGGGTGGTTTTGGGGTTGTTTTGGGGCAGTTTCAGGGTGGTTTTGGGGTGCTTTTGGGGCACTTTTGGGGTGGTTTCAGGGTGGTTTTGGGGCAGTTTTAGGGCAGTTCGGGGGCAGTTTTAGGGTGGTTTTGGGGCAGTTTTAGGGTGGTTTTGGGGCGATTTGGGGGCGGTTTTGGGGCAGATTTGGGGCAATTTAGGGCATTTTCAGAGTTTTGGGTCAATTTGGGTCAGGTTTGGGGTAGTTTTGGGCTGGTTTTGGGACCGTTTTGGGTCAATTTGTGGTGGTTTTGGGGCTCCCAAAGGGCAGGAGCTGTTGCTATGGGGGGGGATGGGATTTG